TCATCCCACCTCTCGGCTGATTAAGGAAAAGTAAATTATTGTAACCAAAAAAGGGGAGGGGACCAGCAGTTAGCGTAATGGCTATGTCGCTGGACTCCCACGTAGTTGACTGCGTGCGTGTGTGTGCGTGCCCAAGATCCTGAGAGAATGGAGGAGAAGGGATTGCGACATGGCCATCCCCCATGGGGGGTGATTTCTCGCTTTCTGTCTCTCTATCTGGTGAGCGCACGCGCCCTATAGGGAAAACCTCTCCAAAAAAAAAAAAAGACAAAAAAGGGGAGGAGGAAGAATGCTAAACAGACAAAACCAACCGATACCCTTTCCGGGGTGTTCAGTTTAGATCCGTGTTTCTCACGGTGAGCTGCTGCCTCAGTGCATCAGTGTGTTAGCGACCCTGGCTCACAGGTTCTAAATGCTGGTAACACTCTCACTGCTACCATCACAACCAAGGCACCACCCATTCCCCACCTCTCCTCCACCCCCACAGACACGCATGCACAGTCTGTGGAACAAAACATTGAGGACCACTGCTCTGTACAATCCTTAAAGCTGTTTCCACTTAAAATAGTCAGATGCAGGGCCGGCAGGTGCCATGGTGGTAGTTAAGACGCTGGACTCCCACATGGCTGACCATCGTTCAAGTCCCTGATCTGCTGACTTGCTTTCTCACTTCCTCTGTCTGCGTGTGTCTTCCTCTGGTGAACATATGGGCCCTGTAGCAAATTAAATAATAATAATAATAATAATGTAATTAAATAAATAATTATTTAACAGTAACAACAAAAAAGTCAGATGCATTTCCATTGCCAAGCAGAAGGTTGTCTGGAATTTTATTATAATAAAATAGTGTTTCTTGTCTCTTTTATCAAAAACTATTTTAATCTACTGTTCCCAAACATCTAAGCTGGTCTACATCTAGTGCGGTATGAAATATGTAAGAAATTAATCAATTTGTTTCTTCAATTTAATTTCTTCATTTTAGAGTACAGACTTTAGAACCAACCCCTAGATCCAAATGCCACAATTGTAGCTCTACTGTTTACTAAGTGCAAGGTCATTTCATAAGGTGCTGTAATAGTTAAATTAGTATGCAGAAAGCATTTAATATATTGCCAAGAGCATAGTGCATAGATGCATGTCTGCATAAGCTATTATTATTATTATCATTATGTTTGTGAGATGGAGTATTAATAATTACATTTCACATAGGTAACATAGTTTAGGAACTTTCTTTGGGAGGAGTTACCCTTTTACAAATAAATTGCTCTACTTGAAAAGTGTTTGGCTGTGGCATTTAGTACACTGAAAAGTACCAGTGAATTAGTCACTTCTTCATTCAGGGTTTATTGAGCGTCCATCAAGCTGGTGCGAAGTTCTAGGGAGACAGGGAACTTACGTACCAGCAGAGAAAGCACTAATGACATGAACAATAAGTGCTCCAGGTGGTTACTGATGTAAGCTATGAAGGAATGACGGACAGGCCTGGATGCAAGGAAGGGTTTGGTATGTCTGTGGAACAGATGAGAGACTGGACGAGCCAGGTGATCCTGGAGAGAGGAAACGAGGAAGATCAGATAGGGTTTCCCAGGCTCTTAGAAGCTCCAGTAAGGAGCTAAGGTTTATTCTAGAGTTTAGGTTTCTTTCCAACTCCTGAGGGGGAGGTCATATGCTGGGTTTGGTTTATATTTGCAAAGTTGTTTTCGTCTACTATGTAGTGAATGACCTGGAGAAGGGCAGGTGGGTCTGGTAGGAGACAAGTGCCACACTCTGGAAAGAGACAGGCGGGGATCGGCTGGGGCAGCAGTGGCAGAGATGGTAGGAAGTGGCTCGTCAAGTCAGATCATGCAGAGGTGGAATGGCAGGGCTGCTGACTGCTCAGATGACGAGGACGAGAGAGAGAGGAGTCAGGGCGAGCCCCTCGATTTTGGATTTTTACATGTCATTTTGACAGTATACGTTATTCCCTCTATTATTAAAATTTTTTTTCTTTTCTTTTTGATGTGATTCTTCTCAAAGCTAAATTTTTAAGTATCATTTAAAAACTTTTATCTTCCCAGTCTAGGGCAGCTAAATTGTACAATCTTCTTAAATATCTTCTTGTTTTCCTATTTAGTAATGGAAATCTCTTTTGATATTTTGGAGCATTTTCTTTGTTAATTATTGCTGCTGAAGGTTCTTTTCTTTTTTAGAATTTGGTAGAGGGGGGACCAGCAGTTAGCATAATGGCTATGTCGCTGGACTCCCATGTAGTCGACCGCAGTTCGAGTCCCGGACCCAGTGGCTTAAACTCATGCCAGGTGCATGTGCGTGCATGCCCAAGATCCTGAGAAAAGAATGGAGGAGAAGGGATTGCGGCGTGGCCATCCCCCCTGGGGGGTGATTTCTCACTTTCTGTCTCTGGTGAGCGCACACGCCCTATAGCAAAAACCTCTCCCAAAATAATAATAATAATTTGGTAGAGGGTATGTGTGCTTGCCAGAGTGAAAAAGCACCACCTCTTTGCCCCTCCCCCCCCAATTGGTCACTCCACAATCCCTTCTCCATTTTTTCTTTCTGGATTTTGGGCATGCACACAAATGTACCTGTTGTGTTTTTCAAACTGCAGGTCTGGGACTTGAACTGTGCTGTCAGCCATGTGGGATCCAGCCACCCTAACCACCATTCCACTGGCTGGCCCAGCTGCTGAGGATTTAAAATCACTTTACCACTTGGCAGAGTGGTCTTCTGAAATTAGGTTGCTGAATATCATCCCCTGGAAGTGTAAGAGTCTGAAAGCTTCCACGGTTAGGAGACAGCCCTTTTTCGCCCACCCACCACACTTCCCTTGGGCCTGGAGGGAGTGGATGGAGGAGCACAAGATGGGAGGAGTGCCTGAAGTTCCCTGGCCCTGCCCCTCCTAGGGCATATGCCCACGGTAGAACTCCATTTTTTTTTTAAAATTTTCGTTTATTATTATTATTGTTATTTTGAGAGGTTTTCGCTATAGGGCACGTGCACTCACCCGAGAGACAGGCAGAAAGCAAGAAATCACCCCGCAGGGGGTGGCCATGCTGCAATCTCTTCTCCATTCTACTCTCGGGATCTTGGAGACACACACACACACACACACACACACACACATGGCCTCTAGGTCTGGGACTAGAACCACGGTTGACTACATGAGCGTCCAGCAGTGTAACCATTACACCATGTGCTGGTCCTAGGGTTTTTTTTTTTTTTTAAGTTACTTATTAATATTTCTTCCCTGAGTGGGGAGGAGGAAGACAGACAGGGTCCCAACTATGTGATCCACCCTTAGCCAAACCAGCCCTGGGTCATGGGAACACTGGTGCCTGGTGTACTCAGGGAGTCGCTGCGCTTGGACTGGGACTTCTCCTGTGGGATTTCCTCTCAGGGCATCATTACAACTGTGCCACCTTCTGGGTCCTCCAGTGTTCTTTTTAACATGGATGTAAGCAGTAGGAAGTCAAGCTTAAGAGGTTTTTTCTTTTTGTCACTTAGGATGAGTACACCTCCCCAATAATTGGAATTTCTTATCTTTTACTAAAAGATGACTGTTCTTGTGAATGAATTGAGGTCGAGCTTATAAAGCTGGTTTTATTTTTCGTTTTTTTTTTTTTTTAGAATTTTTTGCCATAGGGCACGTGTCTCGCTAGAGAGAGACAGAGACAGAGGAAAACTGAGAAACCACCCCACAAGGGGGGTGGCCACGCCTCCATCTCTTCTCCTCCATTCTCCTCATAGGATCTTGGGCCTGAAGCAGGTGCGACTTGGTCCTGGAGGAGTGACTCGGTCCTCCATTATAAACTGTTAGATCCCTATAACTAGAAACTTGCCTTCTCCTTTTTGCCCAAGAATGATTAAATTCCTATGTCCTTAAAACCCCACTCTTCCCGGTTGCCTTAATATAAAATCTCTAGTCCCTGGACCTTGCCTGGAGCCATGGAGACCACTGAGATGTCCTTGTGTTTAGGCAGGGAAGGAACATACCCTTAGGAATGATTAACCTGTTTCCCTGCATGTTCAGCTTCTGAGTTGCGGCTTTTACATTGTAAAAACCTTATCCCCTACCCTTTCAAGTCCACCGTTCTTTGGTATTGTGATTGCCACATCAACCTGGAAGACGATGTGACTTTTGCCTTTTATAGACATCCTTCACCTTGGACTCTGGGCTCCAGGGTTTTGAGAGACATGATTCCTCCCACCCCCCCATTTGCAACCGGCTCAATCAGTAAACTCCAATAAATTTCGCTATGTCTGGATGTCCTCTTATTTCTTGCTGAGTGGACTATGACAGACAGATACACACACACACAAACACACGCGCACACACACGGCCTGGTATGAGTTTCAAGTCACTGGGTCTGGGACTTGAACCACAGTCGGCCATGTGGGAGTCCAGTGACATAACCGCTTCACCATCTGCTAGTCCCTAAAACAGTCTTTCACTAAACTAAGCAGATTGTTTAAATCAGTGCATGTGAAATGAATTATTTTACTCTTTTCTAAGAAATTAAGAGAAACTGGAAAGAAAATTCATTAGACCATAATATAGAGATTTTTTTTATACCTAAATGAGAAACCAGAAATGCATATAAAACATAAGAACTTCAAAAACATTTTTTAGGCACAGACTATTATTAAACACCCAGGATGTTTTTGATTTCCCATTAAAGTACTCAAATGAACTTCATATTCAGAACATTTAAAAATAGCTCCGTGTTAAAAAGAAGATACAAAGTATTATCAGCTGTGCCTTTGTACATAATTAGCATGTGCCTGTGAGGTATAAAGATTCCTAGTCTAATGATATTCATGATAAAAAATAAAAGGTTCAGATGGTAAAAATTGAGCTACAGCTGGGTGGCACATTTAAAACTCACTCAAAGATAACTCCAGCATAGAAGGCATTCTGTCTTAGTCCCTTCATCCATCAGTGGTTTGTGAAGTCACTGGTACCAGATCCTTTTAAAATGTTTCATTTGTTCCCTTTCTTACAGATTTGATGGTGATCATAGTTTCACTCAGTGCTCAGCAGGATGGCTGAAAAATCAGTGGACTTTGCTTCTGATTATCAGTTTTGGATGCAGAAGCTTTCTGTATGGGACCAGGCTTCCACATTGGAAACACAGCAGGACACCTGTCTTCACCTGCCTCAGTTCCAGGAGTTCCTAAGGCAGATGTATGAAGCCTTGAGAGAGATGGTGAGTAGTGGACCAAAGTGCCACCATCGGATTTCACCAAGCTTTGCAGGGTCAAGGACTATGGTATTGACCTACTGTACTGACAGATTAGAAAGGCAAGCTACCCACAGATAATGCATCCAAGAGCTGATTTCCCAGTCTCTTAGTTAGGATGAAGTCAGTCTTTTCTTTCTGACTAGGTTATATTGTCACTTGAGACTTCCTGACCCAGCAAGTTGACTTTAAACAAAGAGGATTTTGATGTTTGGGTCAGGTAATAAATGGGATTCTTTTAAGGACCTTTGCGTTCCTTAAATCTTGAAGAGGTTGCTGAAATGCTTACCTTTTCCTCAACCCTGTTCTCCATTCGGCTCTCCTAAGAAATGATCTGATAAATCTTTAAGGTGACCTTTTCTGATAAATATTTTGAGTGTTTTCACTATCGTATGATTGTTTTGAATTTTTAATGTATTTTCCTTTTGTTGTAAAGTTTCTTATTTAATTTGTAATAGATGTTTTTATGACCTAGCTCATGTTTTCATGAATATATTACTTGTCCTATCTTTAGTTTTAAAATTTCAGAATGAAGAGCAAAGTTGTCACTTAACACAGATATTCTTGTATTACACTTCTCTTCCCTTAGTCAAAGAAGCAAGTAGGTGATATGAAGAGTAATTCGGGTTGATAATATGAGTTCATGTGTTTTTAGAAACCAGAAAGAAAGATACATTCATTTTAAAATTGTTTTCTGTAGTAAGACTTATGTAACCTGACCTTACCCTGGTCCCAGAAAGACTAGGACCAGCCTCGGTGCTGAGGCAGATGCAAGGCATTTGTTGCTGCAGCAGCAGGAAATGCTTATCATTTTGGCTTACCTGCACATTATCTCAGTTCGGTCTTATTTCTGAACTTTTGTGAAAGGTAAAGAAGTGGGAAATGGGCCAATTGTGCGATAGCACATGGATTTTTTAAATCTTAAGCTGTTTTCTATTTAGTTGATCTTTTTGTCTCAGAGTTTAGGTTGTAGCCTAAGTATGATGTCATTTAGCATATAGTAATCAAAATAGTAATAAACAGAGATATATATCTTTATGCCTTGACTGCTTTTATTTCTTTTTACAAGTTCCAGAGTTCTTATTGTTTTAAACCTTCTTTGAAATAGTCTTACTGGAGTTGAGTTAGGAAACTCTTATGGTGGAAGAAACCTGGGATAAAGATACAGAGTTGTAATTATTAATCACCAGTTATGCTTTTTACTCTTATACGGTCTTTGCTATTTTTAAATAAAGTGACCTTTCTTGGCTATTAAGTATAAGTAAAATAAAATTAATTTTGCAACAGGGCCAGCAGATGGTATGGTGGTTGGGGTTCGAATCCTCGATCTGGAGGCTTATGCTGGACGTATGTGCATGTGTGCCCAGAATCCTGAGAGGGAAATTGAGAAGGGATTGCAGCGTGGTCATTCTCTCGGGGGGGTGGGGTGGGGTGGGTTTTCTTTAACCCCCCTGTCACCCCCTGGCCCTATGGGAAACCCTTTTTTTTTTTTTGGGGGGGGAGGGGTTTTTGCTATAGGGTGCATGCCAGAGAGACAGAGAGAGACAGAAAGACAGAAAGCGAGAAATCACCCCCCAGGATGGATGGCCATGCCTCAATCCCTTCTCCTCCATTCTCTCGGAATCTTGGGCAGGCATGCATGCACGCACGCGCACCTGGCATGAGTATAAGCCACCGGGTCCAGGACTTGAACCGCGGTCAACTACATGGGAGTTCAGTGACATAGCTGTTACGCCAACTGCTGGTCCCCTATGGCAAAAATCTTCAAAAAAAATTTGGGGGGGGACAACAAAATTGATTTTACTTATTTTATATATCTTAGCTTTATTTTAAGATAATTGCTTTTGTTAAACTGTATTTGAATTCTTTGCCTAAAGGGTTTCTTTAATCCTTTTTTATCTGCTTTTCCAAAATATGGGGAGGTCTTCAAAAAATTCTTGAAAGATACATATTATATAAAAACTATGCATGGATTTCAGAATGTTTTACACCAGAATATATTTGTACTTCTATTCTGTGAACTTTTTGAAGTTTCCTTATACATGCTAAACAAGGATTCAAACTCCCTTCACCTATAGTGGCATGTCAGTCTTTTTGACTTAAATAGTTTTTACTGACAAATTATAATTTTCTTTTTACAGGATTCTAGAACCATTGTTGAAAAGTTCCCCACAATTGGCCAACTGTTAGCAAAATCTTGCTGGAATCCATTTATTTTAGCATATGGTAAGAATACAGCATGTGTTCTCTGTAGATATAAGTTTCTAATGACAATTTCATTTTTATTAATTTTTTAAAAATTAATACATAATTGTACATAGTTTTGGGGTTACAATGTGATTTTTTTAGCATAAGAAATAAATATGTAGGGCCAGTTTGTGGTACGGTGGTTATGGCAGCTGAATCCCACATAACCAGCTGCCCAATTTAAGTCCTAGACCTGGTGACTTAAGAAACATGCCAGCACATGTACGTGCATGCCCAGAATGCTGAAAGGAAGGAGAAATGGAGGAGAAAGGATTGCGTTCTGACCATTCCCAATGGGAGTGCTTTCTTCTTTCACTTCTCTCTGGCAAATTTAAAAAAAAAAATAAAAAAAGAATATAATGTACAATGATTTATTCAGGATAATTATTATACCTACTATATCAACCATTCACCATTACTTTTATTGGGAGCATTCAAATCCCCCTTTTAGTTTCTTTGAGATACACAGCAAGTTGTTGTCATCTATATTCTCTCCACTGTATTTTACAGCACTAGAAATTGTTCTTCCTATCTGTCTGAAATTTTATTTCTGTTGATTTACACCCCTTTATTTTCTTTCTATCCTCCAGGAGTCCTTCTTCTTCACTCTGTCTCTGAGGTCATTTTTTTTTTGTTTCGGTTTCCATTTGCAAGGAAAAACATGTGGTATTTCTCTTTCTGTGCCTGGCTTATTTTACTTCACTTAATGCTCACCCAGCTTGCCTGTTAGTGTCAAATACCTAGATTTTTTTCCTTTTTTAATGGCTGAATAATATTCCATTGTGTACATATACCACATTTTCTTTATTCACTTAATAGGTGATGGATACTTAGGTCAGTTCTATATCTTGGGGATTGTGAATGGTGCTGCAGTAAACACTGGGTACCAATATCTTTGCAACGTTCTGATTTACTCTCCTTTGTATATATACCTAGTAGTGGGATTGCTGGGTCAAATAGCAGTTCTATTTTTAGTTTTTTGAGCAACTTCCATAATGTTTTCCATAATGGCTGTACTAAATTATAGTCCCATCAACAGTGTAAAAGAATGCCCCTTTCTCTTCATCTTTGCCAACTTTTGTTACTTATTTTTTTCTTTGTTTTTCCATTCATTATAGAGCACATGTACATATAGAAGAGAGAAAGAAAGGGGGAGGAGAGAGAAAGAAAGAGAAGACCCTCTACATGGTTTGGTCATGCTATAGTCCTCCTCCTCCAGTCTTCTACCTTACTACGGTCCTTCATATGTGTGTGCACATCCCCAGCATGTTTTCAGGCTAACCGACTTGGGGAATTGAACTGTAGTGTGCAGTTACCTTCCAGCTCTTAACTGTTCCGCAGAAGCTGGGCCAGTTTGTGCTTTTATGATAATATCCAGTCTAACTAGGATGAGATAACATCTCATCATGGCTTTCGATCTACATTTCTCTAATGATTAGTGATGCTGAGCATATTTTTAAATATGTTTGTTTGCCATTTGTATGACTTCCTTTGAGAACTATTTATTCAGATCATTTGTCCTTTTTAAAATCATGTTATATTTTTGCTACTGAGACATTTAAGGTCCTTATATAGTCCAGTTATTAATCTTTTGTTAGATAAATAGTATAGAAATATTTTCTCCCATTCTGTGCATTGTCACTTCACTCCATTGATTGTTAATGACAATTTAATCTTTGTATTGCTTAACAAAATAGAGAGGCTTAAATTATAAACCTTTCTTTTGTTTTTCATGGAACTTAACAAATGTATTTTTTGTCCCATTACAAAGATGGCATCCTTTATTGTTGTCTGTAGATTTTTGTGGATGTACACTTGTGTGTACATGGAAATGTACACACGTATGTGCAAGCGTGCACATGTGCAGGTTTTTGCTAGGGGATCCTGCATACTCAGCCTTATTCACTTTACCCTGACCCTAATCTGTCCTTCCTCCTTCACATTTATGCCTTTTTCTTCTCCTTCCTCCTCTGCACTCACCAAATGGCAGCACTGTAGTGAACGAGGACTGTATTTTTCACCAGAGTCACACTTCCCTGTGCCAACTTCATACATTGTAGCAAGGTCAGTGTTTCTCAAATATCTTTGACCGGGAATATATTCCATGTAAATGTGTATGTGTATATATACATATGTACACACATATATACACGGACATAAGCACATGTACTCACACGTGATTAAACATATATTTTTAAAATATGTTCTCTCTCTTTTTTTTTTTTGGAGAGATTTTTGCTACAGGATACATGCTCTTGCCAGAGAGACAGAAAGCGAGAAATCACCCCTCGGGGGTGGCCACACCACAATCCCTTCTCTTTCATTCACCTCTTGGGATCTTGGGCATGCATGCACACACACCAGGTGTGAGTTTTAAGCCACAAGGTCTAGGACTTGGACAATGGTTGACTGTGTGGGAGCCCAGCGACATAACCATTATGCTATCTGCTGATCCCAAAATGTTCATGTTTTTATGTGCAAGACACATCCACTGTGCTATTTTAAAAATGGTATTCATGACCCAAAACTGATTTCACAACCCCTGATGTGTCATGCGTGACTACAAGGTTTGAAAATCATTGAGCTAGGCTGATATTGACAGCAGGAGAAAGGAAAAGAAATTGTTGAATGAACTCTGTTTGAAAGACCACCCATTGTTCGATGCTTTATGGATTTAATAACCACTTTTTAGAAGACAAGAAATTCTACACCCTTTAAATGTGTATGGAGAATGTAAGACGCATTCCCAATTCAGAAACATTAAAATGTAGGAAAGTTTGTGTTGATGAGTGCTCGCTTTGTGCTGGGCTCTGTTCTCTGTGGAATCATAATGGATCTGAGTTCTTGACGATAGCCCTACAGAATGAGGAATTATGGATTACAGTAAATAAGTCACTTTTCCCAGAATATAAAACTAACAGGAGCCAGGACCCTATTCCTCATCTGACTCTAAAGCCCATCTTGTTTTAACATTCTGCCCCTGTTTTATTGCATGTTATGCTTGGCCTCATCACTAGCCAGCTTCATATGAGTGTAAATATTCACTCAATAAATACTTACTAAGTTTTTGTGTATGTGTTTAGTCCTAGGAAAACTTGGCTCACTATTTCCATCCACGGGGAGAGGGACGAAGGAGCCCTAAGTAGATTAGCTTGACTCCTGTTAGTTCCTGTTGTGGAGCTCTGAACAGGAAGCAGCAGTTGCTGAAGGGAGGGAGAGTTTCACAGGAGAGCCCCAGAGTGTCTGATCTGTGGGGCTCACTCTGCAAGACTGCAGATGGGATAGTATTCCCTAAGACAAGGTTCTGAACTCACTGGGTCTTGTAGTTCTTGCTTGTAAAAGGGAGAAGGAGGTTGGACTGATTTATCCTAGTGGCCTTAAATTCTTATCTGTCTGCAGTGTTTCCTTAGCACCTTATCTGCATTGGTCTTTTCTGACAACCAGAAACAAATTCTTCATCCTCTTCTGTTCCAATGCTTATGTTACCTTTTGAACTGCCCTTTAAATTGCAGCTTCCTGTTTGAGGTAGCCTTTGGTTCTGAGCTCATAGAGGTGGCTGACAGCACAGAACTCCCCGAGTAATCAAATCTTGCCTGTGTTGCCACTGGTGTTTGCTAGTTGGGCACTTTCTTCTTGGAAGGAAATCTTTCCTTAAGGTTTTATATCAAAATTGTTATTTCATTTTATTTACCAGAGGGTAAATAAAATGTGTGTGTGTGTGTGTGTGTGTGTGTGTGTGTGTGCGCACACGCACACACACACACACACACACACACACACACAGTGTTTTGTTAAACTGCTGTGTCCTGGACTTGAATGGGTAAGTCAATAATATAAGATTTTACCAGAGGGTAAATAAAATGTGTGTGTGTCAATAATATAAGACTCAGCTCCTTAACCATCAGGTTCAGGGCTAACCCCTCAACACTGCTTTTTAAATATAGTAAAAGCATACAGTTTCCATCATGGGACAAAGCAAGTCATCCATATCAATCGAGAACAGGATAAAAAATAACCATAAAAAAGAAAGGAAGAATGATTTGGAAATGAAAAGATACCAAAAAGAGATGAGACTTATCTTTTGTAATTGAGACTTATTTGTGGTGTCCAGGATCAGTACCAGCTTTTCAATGTGTAACTAATTCTTAACATACGGACCAAAAATTTTAAAAGCCAAATATCTTGATTGTTTTTAAGTTATTCCAGTGACATTCCAGCTTCAAATTTGTAGACAAATTTTCCCTAAGAGGCTATCAAGTACCTCTGTCTTCAGATGTTGGAAAACATCTTCTTATCCCATAATGTCCTCTACATACACATATAGCCTTCACCTCCTGCAACTCCAGTCCTTCGGTTCTTGTTCTGCAAGCCTAACAGCTATGATTTCTCTCCCTATTTCCTATCTAGTTTGTGGAACAATTTTGCCCAAAACTTAGAAGCTTAAAACAATAAATATTTATTGTTTTAAAAACATTGCTGCCTTCATACATTTAAGCTTTGGAATTAAGGTTTGAAGGATTAGTTTAGCATTCATTTCAAAATTTAAGGTATCAAAAATAAATAAATAAATAGATAAAACATTAGCTGGCAAATGTATACTAGTCTATTTCTTTCCCTTCCACTCCTTTTTAGAATCTGTATTTGCTCTAAGATCTGCAGTCAGGGCCTTGGCCTCACCACGGGTCCCAGGCAGTTTCTCATCACACTCAGCATGCCCTGTGGGATGATGCTCTAGCCCCATGTCAGGGCTTCTGGGGGGGGGGAGCCTGACGGATGCCATCCCCTGAGGAGTGCTGGTGGCACTTTAACTAAGAAGTGATAGTTTGCTTATGTCTGTGAACCACTAAAGCAGAGTGAGCTGAAAGCTCATTGGCTGTACATTTCAGCATTTTTTAATGCAGTAACTCTAGGCAAAGAAAGGCAGCCCTTAAAGGTTGGGTGGAAGTTTCTCTGGCTCTTTTTCTTTTGTTCTTTTTCTGAGAAGAAGAAGAAGAAAAAACGATATACTTGTTAAACTGTGTGCAGAATCACTCAAAACCTGGGTTAAAAAAAAAAAAAAAAACCCAAAACCAAAAAAACCTCCCATCTTTTGGATTCTTTTAGATTTAA